TTCAAATGTATCCATTACAACAAAATAATAAATCGATCTAATGGATATTATTATTACAATTTCATGTTTTATTTTATTTTAAAGGTTTGGTATTGTCTGTTAATATAATATATATACAGTGAATACATTGCATTATTATTATTATTATTATTATTATAAATATGTAATAATTCAGTTTTATTAAAATATCTTAATTCTATATATTAATAATGATAATAATAATAATGATAATAAAATAATAATAATAATAATAATAATAATAATACAAAAAACAATAATAAATCATAGATCCTTAAATAATAAATTGCAGGGATCAGTGTCAGTTTTATTTATTTTGCAATGTGTTTATTACAATAAAATAATAAATATAATGTGTGTGTGTGTGTGTGTGTGCGTGTATATATATATATATATATTATTAATAATAAAGGTTTGTTGTCATCTGTTTTTATAATATATAAACAGTAAAAATATTTATTATTATTACTATTTATTATTTAAATTAAGTAATGAATCAGTTTTGTTAAAATGTATATAATATGATAATAATAATATTTATAATGCTAAAATTTCATGTTTTATTTAATTTTGTAGGTATGGTATAATCTGTTAATATAATATATAAACTGTGTGTGTGTGTGTGTGTGTGTGTGTGTGTGTGTGTGTGTGTGTGTGTGTGTGTGTGTGTGTGTGTGTGTGTGTGTGTGTGTGTGTGTGTGTGTGTGTGTGTAATTCTAATATTCTAATCATATTATATATAATAATAATAATAATATAAATAATAATAATACTATATAAAAACTCATAAATCTCAGATCATAAATGATCAAGTGGAATTGGTGTCAATTTTATTTTTAATGTGTTTAATCATTAAATTGATTCATTACAGTTAAATAATAAATAAAAATAATGGATATTATATGGATGTTATATTAGTATTATTACACTATAATCTTCTATGTGAAGCTGCTGACACAACCTACATTGGAAAAGCGCTATAGAATTAAAGATGAATTGAACTGAATTGGATTATTATTATTATTATTTATTATCATTAGTATTGTTATAATTATTTAAAAGTACCTATAATTATTTTACTGTTTGGAACTCATCTGCTAGTATGATATATTAATGTTATAAAAAATAATAAATTAAACTTTTTTGAACACCAAGTGAAATACATTTCTGTGAGCTTGATTAAAATATCATTTAGTATCTCTTAAACTTCTTTGTCATTGATCCAGCGATGGCACTTGCAGATTTATGGATGCTGGGAAAGCACATCATTTCTGAAGTGCTCATAAATAATCAATATCTGTTGTTGTTCCTCCAGCGGTGATCGTCGGAGGTGTAGTCGGCGCTCTCTTCGCCGCGTTCCTGGTAATGTTACTCGTCTACCGGATGAAAAAGAAAGACGAAGGCAGCTACACATTGGAGGAGCCCAAACAAGCCACCGTCACCTACCAGAAACCAGACAAGCAGGAGGAATTCTACGCCTAAAACTCCACATATTCATCGTCCTGCATCTCTCCGACCTCGTCCCGTCTCTCTGACCCTTTTTTTTTTTCTTAAATCTCACCCCTTTTTCCTTTGATCCTTCCCTCGTTTCCCCCATGAGAGTGCCTCTCATTCCACAGACTCTGAACTTTCTTTTCCAAAAAACAAAAAAAGGAGAAAAAGATTAATGTAGAAACATTAGAATTGTTTGTGGGTGGGGCTTGAGGTTGGGGGTGGGGCCAAATGGGGGCGTGGCAAACATGAGGGCGGGGCTTGAGTGTACACATACACAGAGAAGAAACTTTTTTAAGACATGTTATTATTGATATGTTTAGAATCGTTGACCTGATTTTTTTCGTTTGTTTGTTTCTTTGGGGGTTTTGTAAAGACAGATGTGCACAATATTACTCTCAAATTGAACCTGGGAGATAGATGGAAGCATGAAAAAAGAAAAAAAAAGACATTTGGGGTCATGGAGGGATTGTGCAAGTCAGAAAGAAGAGTTGCATGGCAGAAGTAGAGGAGAAATCTGAAGTCTATACTCGAAATGCTCTTCTGTCACCAAGGTCACGTTGTGTGGTGCCTTCCATTTCCCTGGTGCTAGCAATGCAGAGTGAGTATGTGTGTGTGTGTGTGTTTGCAATCATACCACCCCAGCCTAGACACACACACACACACACACACACACATATACACAACCCGACTCCCTCTGCTGACGAAAGCATGACATTACTGTCCGAACAGGGAGCCCGAAACACGTACAAACACACACACACAGCACATTAAAAACACTGAGCGTCCGCTGTGAGGGAGCGCATGCATAGAATCAGAGGACTAGCCTCTCCTCTGCTCTGTATAAAGACTTTAGTAATCATTAGTAATAATCAATAATATATCAGCAGCTCTGAACGGAAGGAAAGCGGCGATCATAATATTCGTAGTGAAGGATATTATTATCTATTTAGCTGTGCGGTAAGGTTTTATCGGTGTAAATATCAACTCAACTTTTGTTTTGGTCATGCTTTTAAATCATGATATCGTAGTTCAAATTAAACACGTGCTATTAAAAAACTCACATGGATGATTTTATATTTTAACCCCAGGAGTAATACTGACACCTTTGCTCGGTGCTTTAGTAGTTTTTGTTTTGAAGCACAAGGTTGGTTTTTAACAGACATTTAGTTTGGAAATTTCGCATACACGCCACACAAACTGCCCTGATGGACGGTCATGCTCGAGGTGGATGCCGTAGGAAAGTGTTGATGAGGAACTTGCGTGTTTTCTGGGGGTGTTGGGTTATTAGTGCTGTGGGTGACATATAAATGAGCGTTCTGTCAGCATTAACTCGACTTGGTGGTGCTTTAATGTCTTTCTTTTTGGGGTGCGCAGAAAAGAAATTCACTGTAAAAACTGCTGGCTTCCACACAGTTGCTTTTTGTTGTCCCAACACAAATCAAGTGAACTCGATAATTTTTACAAATTGAAGTTGATTGAACAAAATAATTTAGTTGTCTTTAAAAAAAGCTTAAGGACAGTGATGTTTCAGCTCATTTTAAATAAGTAGTTTAAACAAGCAGCAAACGTAATTTTTTTTGAGTGTTGTTAATTACGTCCTGCTCACATTTATTCATGTATAGTTGTGTTACGTATTACATTCTAAAAATGCTGAGTGGTCTTAACCCAATGTTGGGTCAAATATCAACAAATTCAACATTGGGTTAATTTTATAATTTAATTTGAATGACACTTTTTAACCCAACACGCTTTTGCTGCTTTTTCAATCTTATTTAAAATAAGTTGAAAAAACACAATTCTTAAGGTTATTTTGGAGACTTAATCATTTTTTGGGTCACACTTTACAATAAGGTTCATTAGTTAATGTTAATTAATGCATTTACTTACATGAACAAACAATGAACAATACATCTACGGTATTTGTTCATGTTAGTTAACGTTAGTTTATGAAAATACAGTAGTTCATTGTTAGTTCATGTTAACTCATGGTGCATTTACTAATGTGAACAAGCATAGACTTGGATGTTAATAATGCATTAGTAAATGTTCAATTATGATTAATAAATGCTGTACATGTGTTGTTCATGATTAGTTCATGTTAGTAAATGCATTAACTAATAAACCTTATTGTAAAGTGTTACCCATTTTTATTTTATTTTAGTGGATTGAACATTAAATAACTAAGTTAACTTAATCGATTTATGTTGGTACAACATGAAGACATTTTCTGGAATCCAACATTTTTTTACAGTGCATTTTCTGTTCCATACAGTTCTTTCATGTTGTCCCAACATGCATTGATTAAATTAACTTAATCATTTATACAAGTTTAAGTGGATCAATCATAAAATTAAGTTGTCGCAAAAAATCCTTAAGAATTGTGTTGTTAAACTAATTTTCATTAGCATAAGTAATGTTTTTGAGTCAATTTTTTGATACAGCAACCCAGGGTAAGCTTTTCTAAAAACAAGAATCAAGCAACACTTGTTGTATATTTAAAGTGCTTTAAAAATTTACTGAGATTTACTGGTGAGAAGTTAACTTGAAGTATTACACTGAAAAAAATATTAATTGGATTTACTAAACTTTTCAAGGTAAGCAAACAATTAATATGGGCTGAACAAATTAAATGAAGTAATGTTTCACCAAATGTGTTTGTTTTATTTAAGCCCATATTAATTGTTTGCAACTACTTACCTTTAAAAAAAAAAAAAGTAAATCCAATGAATTTTTTTTTTACATTTTTAAATAAATTCAACCTTAATTGTTGGTCACTGCAGGATTGCATTCATAAAACCCTTTAGTGTCATAGTTGACTTTGACAAGAAAATCCAGACAGATATAATAAAAAAGGAGGAAAAAGTTAATTGATTGGATTTTAACGCATCAGTTGGGTTTGTTCATATTTGAGCAAATTTGAGTTACAACAACCCAGAATTTTTAGAGCTAAGCTTTTCTGAAAATGTATGCAAAAGAATCAAGCAACACTTGTTGTATATGTAAAGTGCTTTTAACATATACAGTGTCTGGTGAGAAATTAACTTAAGTTTTAATTAACTTACTTTCAAACAAGCAGGACTTAATTAATTTGATCCGGTGTGTTTGATTAAGGTGGGAACTAAACTGTGCAGAGCTGCGGCTCTCCACGAACTGGCTTTGACACCTGTGACTTAAGGTATTGTACAGAAAAATAAACGATTCATTGAATTTACAATTATTTTATTTTTTTAGGTAAGTGGTTGCAAACAATTGATATGGGCTGAATTTAAACAAACAAGCAAATTAAAATGAGTAATACTCAACTTAATTTGTTTGTATAAAGTTATCCCATATCAATTATTTGCAACCACTTAACTTAAAAACATTAATTAAATCCAATGATTTTTTTTCCTGTTTTAAAAAAATTCAACCTTAATTGTTGGTCTCTGCAGGATTTCTGCAGGATCAGCTTCATAGTTGACTTTTACAAGAAAAAGCAGACAGATGTAAGTTAAGTTTTAAGATAGATAAAGTTAACTGATTTAACTTAAGTTAAACTTAGTTAACTGATTGCATTTTGTCTTGCTATTTTTTTTTTGGTTTCTCATAACTTGTGTGCTTTCTCTAAGTGTGTCAGATTAAACTATTAGAGTTTTATGAATGTACAGAGAATAATGGGAAAGTCAAGATTATGTTTATTTTTCACCAAACCAAAGACCTCCAAAACACTTAGAATATACAACATGTCCCATTGGCCATTCCTAGGATACATTTTCATTGGTTTAAGCAAACCTTAAAGGGATAGTTCACCCAAAAATAAAAATTTATTCACAATTTGAGTTTGTTGAACGGATATTTTGAAGAAAGCCAAAAACCATCATCGACATCCACAGTAGAAAAACAAATACTATGGAAGTTAATGATCTCCAGTTTCCAGCTTTCTTTAAAATATTTTTTTTATTGTGTTCAACAAAGGAAAGAAACTCGAACAGGTTTGTAACAAGTGAATGTTAAGAAAAAAACAACAACAGTATATTCATTTTTGGGTCAACTGTCCCTGTAAGATGCTATTACATGAATGAGCATTAAAAAATCTCTTCAGCTCCCAAAAAGGAAAGAAAGGCATTAAAACAAGGCTCTGATGAATAAATGATGACTTAAAAATGTCATTCTGGGGTGAACGATCACTTTAATGCTCCGAGAGGGAAAATAACACATCTAACATAAAGATATCCAAGCTGAAAGCCTTTAAATAAGAACGAAAAGGAGTTATCATTTTATTTCCTCGGTTATCATTGTTACGCCAGGATACAATAGATTCATATAAAACAAAACAAACAGTCTAGAAATGCATGAATTAGCAATAACAAGCGATCAACAACAGACTCTGTGGTTGACATGCTCCGAATGTATGTGACATGTCGTGTGGTGTGACGTCAGTGTTTATCGCAGCTGTAAAATGACATTACTCGTCTTGAACACATATCATTTTAATAAATATCTGTACTATAGTGAATATCCGGGATAATAGTGCGCAGTATCAGCACACACCCTCTCCCAAAAATTCCTTTTTTTATATCCACAGTAATGGAGAATTCAACCCAGATGCATTTATAAACACAATCGCTGAGGGTAAAGCTGCCATAACACTGAAAACCTGACATCCAATAACGCTTCCTGTTATATCACAGATCGTGCATTTACAATACATGAGGATTTTTATTTTGTGTGTGTGTGTGTGTGGAAACATCGACACTCAAGCATATCAGAAGGGGTGTGAGCACATTCAAGACGCACTGCGATCATACAGGGGTGCACTATAAAATAATATCTGGTAATTATCAGCTGCTGTATTTTGTGATTCTCAAGTGTTTTCTGTTTATTTACGATTGTGAATTGCATTATGGGATGTTAATCTCTGCTCTGTCCATGTTTGATGTTGAAAATTCAACTCTGCAGTTTTAATAGAGTCACTTTAGCAGTTTGAGATGATGTATAAAAAATAAATAGAGAAATAAGTCTGTAAAATAACAGAAAATGTACTGTAATTAGCAGGTTTTTGTACCATAATTTACAACACCAACCCAGATGATATATCACTTTAAACCAGTGGTCACCAATCTCGGTCCTGGAGGGCCGGTTTCCCTGCAGGGTTTAGCTCCAACTTGCTTCAACACACCTGCCTGGATGTTTCAAGTATAACTAGTAAGATCTTGATTAGCTTGTTCAGGTGTCTTCGATTAGGGTTGGAGCTAAGATCTGTAGGACACCGGCCCTCCAGGAACAAGTTTGGTGACGCCTGCTTTAAACTATTAGAAATGTCAACATTTTCAACATCAAAAGCAGGGGTGCCCAAACTTTTTATTATGAAGGGCCAAAAACCAAACTTGATTAAGGGCTGTGGGCCGAAGGTAAATAGCAAACTGTATTACTTTAAAGCTTCCATGAGTAATTTCCTCATTTATTTCCTAATATTTCAAAATAATTACAGAATATTGCTTTGAATAATATGAAATAATATATTAACTGATGCAGTATATTTTTGGTTTAGATACTTCTATTGATTTTCAGTTTTTCAAATGAGAAAGAACAACAATACAAACCCCATACCAATCCAAGAGCAGGATAGCACTCACATTAGCCGAAAATTAACAAATATACAATTGTACATGTAGGTTCAAGTACAAAGAAATAATAATAATAATAATATTAAAAAATAATAATAATAAATAAATAAATAAAATACAAACACCTAACCATAAATACCATAAATGTACAGCAAAATCAAATTATTTGAGATTTTTCACATAATCAATTAAAGGTTGCCACACCTTCAGGCCTGGATAATCGGGAGGACCGAGAGAATTCCCGGTGGGCTGGTCCGTTTTTTTTTGCCCGCAAGGGCCAGTGTCCCTAGCTGATTGCACTCTCAGCAGTCACTTTTTTTCATTTGTTTATTTATTTGACCATAGCCTCACTCTTTTTATTCATTATTTAGCCGCAGCTCCGCTCCTTTGATTTATTTTCTTGCAGCCCCTTGAGCAAAATGCAGCCTGCAGGTTAATGATGATGTAACTGTCATTCGACCCCAAACAGCGGCACCTTAGTGAACATAAGAATTTGAATAATTAATATTAATGAATATTACCCCTGCCCAATGAAAATCAGATGATTCACTACATTAATAAATCTGACATGACTTGATCAGAAATCTAAAAAGTGTAGAAAAAGATTAAGCCATCAAAAGAAAGTAATACTGTGGTCAAGTCTTGCAGATAGCAGTGCAATATTGATTTTTTATTCCAAACGCACCAGTGTAACAGCACCGTTGTGGTCCAGTTGTCATCGCATTG